CATCTATCTTAAAAACATGCTAATGTTTTTTGTTTTGTCTTTTTTTTAGTTTGCTAGAAACCATTTGTGGTTGCTAGAGAGAGAGAAAGAGAACTCCTTTCCCCCATGAGGGATTGTCATACCACAATCCCTTCTCTATTTCTCCACTTCGAATTGGGCATGCATGCATACACCTGGCCAGCATGTTTTTTCAAGCTGTCAGGTTTAAAACACTAGGTTTGGGCCTTGAACCACAGTCTGCCATGTGGTATTCAGCCACCTTAAGCACTGTGCCACCAGTTGGCCAAACATATTTGTGTATATGCACAAAGATTTTTACTGAAGTTTCGTTTATGAGAGTGAAACATTTTAAATAAAACATACTTTATACTTGAATGCAGCCATTACAATATACGTGAATTAGAGCTACATGTATTGACAGGAAGATCTCCCAAATACTGTTAAATAAACAAAAGTAGGGGGCCAGCAGGTGGTGTGGTGGTTAAGGTGCTGGACTCCCCCATGGTCAACCACGTTTCCAGTCTCGGACCTCACTTTCCTTCTCTCTCTATGTGTCTGTCTTTTCTGGTCAAATTAAAATAAATGAACGAATAAATAAAATTAAATAGAGGCCAGCAGATGGTGTGATGGTTGGGGGCGCTGGACTCCCCCATGGTTGACTATGGTTCGAGTCCCAGACCCGATGCCTTGATTTCTCCCTCTCCCTTTCTCTCTCTCTCTGTCTCTCTCTGGTCAAATTGAATAATAATAACAAAAAATGGAATTAAATAATTTAAAAATAAAATAAATAAATTTAAATAATTTAAAAATAAAAATAATTGCTAACAATAGGGTCCCAGCAAGCCTAAAGAAAAATCATTAAACTATATTGTTGAATACATAGTTTGAGGAAAAGAACTGGACAGACACTGAAATTAAAAAGCTTCTCACTTGTGAATAGTGGGAAACTGAGGAAGAGAGGTTAACTGTTTACAGTGTACATAAAAGGATAGTTTTTGGGTGGTGGTTAAAGTTAATTTAAAAAGTACTGTGAGGTAATACTAAAATTATATAAGCTCTGAGAGAGGCTGCGGGCAAGTTTTATCTGGTTTAGCAGTGAAGTTTCAAGATAGTGCCAGCAATATAGTTTGCACCTTGTAGATTATGCTCCCCTGATTCAGACACTAGCTGTGAATGTTCATTTGCTCACAGTGATCCCACGCTATTACTAGGGCATTGTGGAGGCTGGGGCCAGTGTCAGGGGATTTATGGTCACTGTATGGTAGAAAATAAACCCGCACAGAACCACGGAAGAGCTCACTAGGAGGTAGGGGAGTCCTGAGTCTTTCTCACTATGTGTTCCCGATCCACGCTCTCTAAGTGTCGGGAGGTTTGGGCAATCGGACAGTCTGGGATGCTGAGTCATTCTCAAGCAGTCATTAACTTTTGTGACGTATGTCTTTCTCACCAGTCAAGAAGACATAATCCTGAGCGAGCTTCCGGACTGGCTTTAGCTCAGCGGTTCCTTCGGCGACTTCAGCTGCAAATTCCACCCTCTCTGGGCGGATGGCTGGCTGCAAATCCACCCCTCCCCTGGGCGGGTGGCTCGAGTCCCGCGGGCGCTCTCCAGTCCTTTTTGCTTCTGCCTGGCTTAATTTTCCCAGTACCCAGACTTGAAAAAAGTGTTTTGAGACCCCTTCCTTTGCCCAAGAAAAATCCCTTCCCTTTTCGGAATATTCAGAACCAACTGTTCGCCGCGGGAGTTTAGCTCCCTTTTCACCATAAAAGAAACTGTGACTCCCTGGAGAAGCGGCTGATTTTAGTGCTGGAACAGGAAATGCAGAGATCAACCGGGTGAATCTTGGGCCAGAAAGTAAAAAAGTGGTTAAAATCAAAAGACAAACAAAAGGCTTTGAGTTACTTTCAGTATTTAGTAATGTTCATATTTTTGTTTTGTACTTGTATTTTTTCTAATATACTTTTCTGCTTTGGGCCCAGATGATTTGCTTTTTTTCTTTCAAATCTAGTTGATTTTTCTAAGTTATACCTCGGCTGGTTATTCCATATCAATTTTTCTAGGTTTATAAAGTACATTTTTTTTTTTTAATTTTTAAAGATTTTTTCCTTAGGGTGCCATGTGCTCACTAGAGACAGAGGGACAATGAGAGGGGAAAATGAGAAATTGTCCCACAGAGGGACTAGGACAAGGGAAAGTGCAATCGCTTTTTTATTCTCTTCCTGGGATTTTGGGCATGCTTGCACACATGCCTGGTGTGATTTTTCAAGTTGCCAGGTCCAGGTCTTGAACTGCAGTCAACTACATGGGAGTCCAGCATGGTAACCACTATGTCAGCTGTTGGCCCAGGGAAGATCCTTTTGATGTGTACACTCAGGTATGGTTCCTGAGTTTTCTTGTACTTCATGAGTTTTCTTGTAGTACAGTATCAAATATTACATCTATTTCATTGTTTTATTCTGTAGGGTCTGCAATATACAATGGATCTTAAGTGTCTCATTTTCTCTGTGATCTTTCTTCCTACTTTCTTGGTGTTATTTTAATTTTCTTAGCTGTTTTAATTCCTTCCTCAATACTAGTTATGTGTGTGTGTGTGTATTTTTTTTTTATTACATACTGCTGGGGAGCAGCAGGTGGCAAACCCACATGGCCAAGCACGATTCAAGTCCTGGACCTGGTGGCTTGCTTTCTCACTTTCCTCCTCTCTCTTTGTGTCCCTCTATGGTCAAATTAAAATAAATGAATGAATAAATAAAATTAAATAAATAGTTGCTTTAAAAAATTACATACTACACCTGGCTTGCATTGCATTTTAAAACATTTTATTTATTCTATGAGTGAGAGAGACAGAGACAGAGATACAGTGCCCTCACAAGAGTCCTGGCTGGGCAACCAGCAGTTAACGTAATCGCTATGTCACTGGACTCCCACGTAGTCCACTGCTGTTCGTGTCCCGGACCTGGTGGCTTAAAACTCATGCTAGGCGCATGTGCGTGCGTGCCCAAGATCCCAAGAGGAGAATGGAGGAGAAGGGATTGCGGCGTGACCATCCCCCCCTGGGGGGGTGATTTCTCGCTTTCTGTCTCTATGTCTCTCTCTGTCTGGCGAGCACACGCACCCTATAGCAAAAACCTCTCAAAAAAAAAAAAATCCTGGCTACACTCAACCCATCATTTTCAGTTAGCCCGAGATTCTAGCCACAAGTATGCCCAACCTCCTACTACTACTATTCAGTCTTGGTCAGGATCTGTCAACCTTCATATGCGGGTCTGCCTCACAGAGCTTCGTTTTTACTACAGTGCCACTATCTGGCCTTATATTTTGAGTAAAATATCTTTTCCTTTGGACATTTTATAATTTAGAGCTTTTTCCCTAAGATAATTTTCTTTAATCTCTCCTGGGTTGGTTTTTTTTGTTTGTTTGTTTGTTTGTTTTTGGTTTGTTTGTTTGTTTGTTTTCCCTAACTTAATCATTTTGTTCTTTGTCCACTTCTGAGTTTTCTGATTCATGGTATTGTTTCTGTCACCAATGACTAAGGTTATTTAATTTAGGTTGGGGTGTTGCATTTCTGTTTTTCTGTTTCATGGGTTGGTTGGTTGTATTTGCCAGAGGGTGCCTATTCTTGCCAGAGAGAGAGAGAGAGAGAGAGAGAGAGAGAGAAAGAAAGAGACACAGAGAGAGAACATCCCAGTGGGGCATGATCAGGCTGCAATCCCTTTTCCTACATCTCTCCAAACTGCCAGGTTTTAGGGCATACATGTACATGCAGCTGGAATGTTTTTCAAGTTGTTGAGCTGGGATTTGAACCATATTCAGCCATATGGAATCTGACTTCCTTAACCACTAGGCTACTGGCTGGCTCTCATGATTATTTTTTAAAAAGTATTTATTTTTCACTGTATGTCCTTGCTCAATATATACTGAATATCTGTACTGTATGACAAAAATGGAAAATTCCGAAGACACAGAAGTAGAGAAGACAACTATAGATAGCAGAGACTGCATGGTGGGTGGGGAGTAGGAGGAGCTGAAGAAAAATAGTATTTAACAGACACAGGAATGCACGTAGACTGGACAAATGAATTGTAGAATGTCCTATTGCAACTATCTTTTTTTTTTTTTTTTTGAGACGTTTTTGCTATAGGGCACGTGTGCTCGCCAGACAGAGAAAGACAGAGAGACAGAAAGCGAGAAATCACCCCCCAGGGGGGATGGTCACGCCGCAATCCCTTCTCCTCCATTCTCCTCTCAGGATCTTGGGCACGCACGCACACGCACCTGGCGTGAGTTTTAAGCCACCGGGTCCGGGATGCAAACCGTGGTCGACTATGTGGGAGTCCAGCGACATAGCCATTACGCTAACTGCTGGTCCTGTATTGCAGCTATCTTTAAAGAAGACATTGCCACCATGCATGCTTAGAAAAATCATACTTATACCTGACAAAGATATATAAGATTTAAGTGTAAATAAATTGTAAAATAGGAAAAAATACTGTTTTTTTTTTCATTTTTCTTTTAGGTTTTTGTCATAGGGCATGTGCATTCACTGGAGACAGAGAGAGACAGTGAAAAGGAAAGTGAGAAATCACCCCCTAGGGGGAATGGCCATGGTGCGATCCCTTTTCCTCCATTTACTTCTCTTCTCTTCTTGGAATTTTGGGCATGCATGCACATGTGCTTGGTGTGTTTTTTTAAGCCATGGTGTTCGGAACTCAAACTGCACAGTCTGCCATATGGGATCCAGCCACTTTAACCATCACACCACCAACTGGCCTATGGTTGTTCAATTAAAAATAATTTTTTTTTTTTAGATTTTTGCCATAGGGTGCATGTGCTCACCAGAGAGAGACAGAGACAGGGAGAGGGAAAGTGACCAAGGGCGATGGCCATGTGTAATCTCTTTACTCAATTCTCTTTTTAGAATTTTGAGCATGCACATACATATTCCTGGTATGATTTTTAAGCTGCCGGGTCCAGGACTTAAACCCTGTAGTCAGCTATGTAGAAGTTCAGCACCTTAACCACCTTGCCACCTGGCTCCAATAGTTCAATTTTAAAACTACTCTCTATTTAAATTTACCTATACAGAGAGACAACTCAGCTTCTACCATTCAGTGTATGTACCAATACAAGTTAATGACACTGTATTTGTTTCCTCCGCCATAAAAATGCAAGGGAGGGTCTTCAAAAAGTTTATGGAAATGCATTGTGAAAAAATTATGCACAGCTTTGCGCAGTGGCAGTATTGTAGCCAATGAGGTTTATCCGAGGCGCGATTATTGCTAATTGAAAAAATTATGCACAGATTTAAATTTTTTTTGCACCAAAATAATCTCAAACTTTAATTCTATTCTCCATGAATTTTTGAAGTCCTCTCAGAACTACTTTATAAAGTAGTGAGAATTATATAACAAATCACCAGAGCAAGTAAAATTTGTTCATTCAGTTATCCTGAACCAAGAAATACAAAGGACCCTTAATAGAATCAACCCGAGAAGATCTTCTCCAAGCCATATCGTAGCCAGACTGGCAAAATCCACAAAGATACTAAAATTGGCAAGAGAGAAACATCAGGTTACTTATAAAGGTTATCCCATCAGGCTAACATCAGACCTCCCATGAGATACAATATGAGCAAGGAAAGAATGAGAAAATATATTCAAAATGTTAAGTGAAAAACAGTTACAACCGAGAATACTACACCCAGCAAGATTATCCTGCATATGGAAAGAAAGGAGAAAAACATTCTTTTTTTTTTTTTGGAGAAGTTTTTGCTATAGGGTGCATGTGCTCGCCAGAAAGACAGAGAGAGACAGAGAGATAGAAAGGGAGAAATCACCCCCCGGGGGGATGGCCATGCCGCAATCCCTTCTCCTCCATTCTCCTCTCTGGATCTTGGGCACATTCTCCTCTCGGGATCTTGGGCATGCACACACACGTGCCTAGTGAGAGTTTAAGCCACTGGGTCCGGGACTTGAACTGCGGTTGACTACTTGGGAGTTCAGCAACCTAGCCATTACGCTAACTGCTGGTCCCAAAACATTTTCAGATAAAGAAGACATGAAAGAATTTGTCAATACCAGACCCACTCTTCAAGAAATTCTGAAAGGAGTGCTCTACCAGGAAAACTAAAGACACACACACAGAAATAAGAGAACAAAAAATAACCAAGAAAATGACCAACTTAATGCTAGGGACAAGAAATATTAATAATAATGTTGAATATTAACTTCCAGGATTTAAACGGAACGATCGGACGACAGTAACACTGCAGATTCAACAGCAGAGAGATTGAACATAAGACTGAACTGGTGAAGTAAAATTGTATAACTTTTGAGTATAACATTACTGATTTTTTAAAACTGTGCTTCGTTTTCCCAATTTAAGGATTTTGCTTTCTTTTGAGCTATTGATAGGTTCAGCAATATGGTAAAATGTTTTTTCTTCTTGTTTGTTTCTTTAAATGGAAACATGGTGGTTAGGGGGAAGGGATGGAAAACAACTATAGACACCAGAGATAGTGTGGGAGGAAGGTGGAAAAGGGCAGAGGGTCAGAAATAGGGATAAAATATATATGTATATATATATATACACACACACACATACATATGAAACTAGAAATGGAAAATTATTGATGATAACATGCATGATTAAGCCGCTATGCAGTATATTCTTGATGAGAAATCACATTTTGTATGCTGTGACGATGCTTAGGGAATGAATGTAAATTAATTAATTAAAAAATGTTTCAGAGGGACCAGCAGTTAGTGTAATGGCTATGTCGCTGGACCCCCATGTAGTCGACCGCAGTTTGCATCCCAGACCCGGTGGCTTAAAACTCACGCCGGTTGTGTGTGTGTGCGTGCCCAAGATCCCAGGAGGACAATAGAGGAGAAGGGATTGCGGCATAGTCATTCCCCCTGGGGGGAGGGGCAATTTCTCACTTCCCTTTCTCTGTGTCTGTCTCTCTCTCTTCAGTGAGCATACATGCTGTAAGGCAAAGAAAAAAAAAAAAAAACTCTAGAAAATAAGGAAAAAAGTCTGTTTCAGATGGAGACTTAGGCAATGGTTCTCTCACAGTATGGCCCCCAAAGCAGCAGCATCAGGATCAACCAGGAAACTCGGAAATGAAAATTACCCAGGATTATTGAACCAATTTCTAGGTGTAAGGCCCAGCAATCTGTGTTGAAACGAGATCTCCAGTTGATTCTGATGCTGGCTAAAGCTTTGGACACCACCTTAGAGGAGAGAGAGTAAGAAAGAGCCTCCTGAAAAGTGAAGAAAAGTGGAAAGGAAGTTTCTCCTGGAGAACAGAATTGAGAATAATCAAGGAGCTCCTTTTATTGCCAGGGAACAGGGTCTTCATAATGTGTACATGTAAGGAGTTTAAAATTCCTATGACAGGGGCCAGCAGGTGGCATGGTGTTTGGAGAAAAGAGACTGGTCTTTGATAGTAGATGGTATATCACAGAATATTTGGTAGGCAGGGATGAATTGAGAAGGTTGATATGTGACTTGTGTGCTGGGCTTTTGCTTTTCAACAGTTTGAGTAGTTGACATGTAAATATTTTCTCAAAAATATTTAAAACCAGGGACCAGCAGTTGGCGTAATGGCTATGTCGCTGGACTCCCACGTAGTCGACTGTGTTTCACGTCCCGGACCTGGTGGCTTAAACTCATGCTGGGCGCGTGTGCGTGCATGCCCAAGATCACGAGAGGAGAATGGAGAAGGGATTGCAGTGTGGCCATCCCCCCTGGGGGGGTGATTTCTCGCTTTCTGTCTCTCTGTCTCTCTCTATCTGGCGAGTGCACGTGCCCTATAGCAAAAACCTCTCCAAAACAAAACAAAACAAAACAAAAAAGAAAAAAAGAAAAAAAAATTAAAACCATACTGTCTGTTGTTATAGAGTCTCAAACAAAATTATAACAAATATTTTGAACATTATCTTTAAAACTCAGTTTTTTGAAATTTTGAAAGTCGTTTATTAACTGTCGAGAAGTATGGAGTATGAGCAAAATTTTTTTCGATATGTAAAGTAAATGTGGGAAAATGTAAAAATAAATAAATAAATGGTTAAAAGCTAATAAAAGAGAAGAGTCTAAATTTCCAAACTCATCAGCTCAGGTGAGAGAGTTTACTAGAAAGTAGATGTTTGGATGAAATTCTGGCTCTTCTTTGGTTTTTAAATTTTGGTTGTTATTTCCAGAGTTCTGATTTTTTTTTTTCTTGAGATATTTTTGTTACAGGAGAGACAGAGAGTGATGAAAAGACAGAAATCACTCCTCAGAGTGATTTGCTATGCTGCAATCCCTTCTCCATTCTCCTTTCAAGATTTTGGGGTTGCACACACCTGTGCTTGGTATGAGTTTCAAGCCACTGGGTCTGGGACTGAAACAGTGGTTGACCGCGTGGGAGTCCAGCACCTTAACCACTAGACCACCTGCTGGTCCCCTGTTTGGTTCCTTTTTATGCTATGGTGCTATTATTGTTATTTACTTCTATTCATGTTAAAGCTTGTGCATGCACATGTGAAAGTGAAAGAGAAAGAGAACAAGAGCCACACCCTCCAAAGGATCTGGTCCTGCTGTGATTCCCTTCTCCAGTCCTCCAGCCAACCTGAATCAAACATGGGCTGCTACTTTTTTGAAGTTCTGTTTTGTTTTTAGAAATAAATGAAGTACATAAATGTAAAACAATGTCAAGAAAACATAAGATCCCATTCTCAAAGAAATCCTTACAGCTTTGCCTGGTAAAGAAACAGCAGCCCTTGTTTGATTCAGACAGTTTTTTACTTACATAGACTCAAAAGGAAGATGAGCAAAGTTATCAGCTTCCTGCATCCTTTGCCCCGCATGATAGCACCAATGCTAGAGGGAATGACTGCAACATGAGTAAAGAGACCCTCTTTTGTAGCTTACAAGTCTAAGGAGGTGTGGAAGAAAGCCTCCTATCTCAGAACCTAGGAAGTGGTGAGAAATCCCTGTAACAATCCCCCAGGAAGATGAGGTAAGTGGGAAATGACCTTGTAGCAATTCTTTAAGAACTCCCCTCATCCACATGTTCCAGGAGGATCACAGGATGTTCTGCCAAGATTTAGATTAACTGTGGTTAGGCCTATGTGGCCTACATGGATACAGGCAAGGTTGGCAGAGTTGCATGGTAGAGCCATTCCTTGCATACAGAGGAAAGCCAGTGAACAAATTTTTGACCAGCTTGAAAAGGCAAAACAAGCAAAACAAGGAGGAGGAAGAAATAACCGCAACAAGAAAAAGCATAATAAGCAGAAGTTTCCTTTTGTCCCAGAATTTTGCTATGCTGAAACAAAGAATTCTAAAAGTAGTTTCTAACAGACTGCCAAGAGTTGATGGGTAAACCACCAAAGCTTTCTGATAACTAGTAACTATTATCAACCCCTTACCTCCTCCCTACCTCCACTTTGTTTAAGCAAACTAGGGGATGTGAAAGCTGTCGGAATTCTTGGCAGTGGATTGGTAGAAGGTTGTCACAGTTTGAGACCTTTCTCGGCTCCTCCAGGAGCCATGTCATGAGGGAAGATCCATAAGCTCTCTTTTTTTTTAAAAAAAAATGTTATTTTATTTTTAATTTGACCAGAGAGGGACAGAAAGAGAGGGAGAGAGGAAGTGAGAAAGCAAGCTGCCAGGTCTGGTACTTGAACCGTGGTGGGCCATATGGGAATCTAGTGCCCTTAACCAATATACCACCAGTCAGTCCCCACATAATCTCTTTCTTTTGTGGAGAATGTAAGGGCCTATAAGAAATGGAGTCTGACATTTATTGCTTGGTTGGACATTTGGATGCACACACATATACACATTCACTTTTTTTTTTTTTTTTAGTTCAGGCACTGAGCTGGCCCTGTAGTCTAGTGGTTAAGGAAGTTAGACACATAGCTGATTGTGGTTCAGATCCCAGCCCTGGCTTGAAACATATGGCTGTGTGTGTGTACATGTCCAAAATTCTGACAGGTTAGAGAAAGAGAAGGGATAGTAGCATGACCACATCCTATTGGGAGATGCTTTCTTCCCCTCCCTCTCTCTTGCTCTCTCTGGCTGGCATACATACCTTCTGGCAATTAAAAAAAAAGTAAAAATCTAGGCATCGATAAAGGTCATGCATTATATTTGGTTATTGTGTCTCCTCTTATCTAAAACAATCTCTCCTGACATTTTTTCCCTTTGTTCACGTAGTTTGTGAATGATGTTTTAAAACTGTAGTAAAAACCAATAACATGAAAGTTACCATCTTAACCATTTTTTTGAAGTTTTAAAATTTAACTTTATTTATTTACGTATTTTAATTTGACCAGAGAGAGACACAGTGAGAGAGAGAGAGAGAGAGAA